TCTAAAAGAATATTATGGTCAACTGTATCAAATGCAGCACTAAGATCCAACAGGACGAGCACAGATACAAGTCCATTATCTGAGGCCATGAGAATATCATTAGTGACTTTCACCAGAGCTGTTTCAGTGCTATGATGAGCTCTAAAGCCAGACTGAAACTCTTCAAAAAGTTCATTATGGTGTAAGTGATCGCAAACTTGTTTGGCAACTACTTTCTCAAGAATTTTAGATAAGAAAGGAAGACTGGATATAGGTCTATAATTGACCAAGTCATCTGGGTCAAGAGACGGTTTCTTAAGCAGAGGTTTAATTACAGCAACCTTAAAAGCTTTAGGTACATATCCCTGTAACAGAGATAGATTAATCACATCTAAAATGGAGGAGGAGATCAAAGGGAATACCTCCTTAAATAACCTGGTTGGAACTGGATCTAACATACAAGTTGAAGGCTTAGATGAAGACAATAATTTTGCTAATTCAGAGAGTTCAACTGGATCAAAGCAGTCTAAACCCGGTTCAGATTCCATGACTACCTCAGGTACAATCGCGGATAGAGGAGTGCTTATGATCTTATTTTTAATAAGATCAATCTTATTTATAAAGAATCCCATAAAATCATTGCTGCTAAGAGCAGGTGGAATGGACGGTTCAACAGAGCTATGGCTCTGGGTGAGTTTGGCAACTGTATTAAAAAGAAATCTAGGATTATTCTTATTCTCCTCTATTAATGAGGAGAAGTATGCTGCTCTTGCTTTACAAAGAGTCCTCTTATACAGCAGTAAACCATTTTTCCAGACTAGGAAGGACTCTCGCAGGCCTGTGGAGCGAAAACTATTCGAAATTTAAGAAAGCAAGTAGGACAATTCGCCAATAGAACATAAAAAAAAACCTCATTATCTTACTTTAGCTGCATAATATCTATCAAACTTACTTTAAGCAAAAAAAAAAAAAATCTTAATTATATTGGCAGGTCATCTCATTTACCTGCTCAAATTAAGGGTGAATACTTATTTTAACCAATTTTTTGGTTTAAATGTACAATTTTTAAAACTATTTAAAGTATTAAAAGTAATGCAGAAATAAATGTTAAGGACAGATGCTTTAAACTTTATACTATTTACTGGACTAATCTATTAGAGAAACATTTTCACTATTCGTTTTATAATTAATGATAAGAGTGTCAAATTTAACTTTGCATCATCTCAAAAAACAAAGAAGTTGGTGCAGCACAGAGCGCAACCACAAAGAAATTAATTGTCTGGAACAAATTATTTTGGTGTTTTTTTTCTATACCAACAGGCCATAATAATGATTGAACTTTATTGATCTCACACTGGAGATATTTACCTCAGCGTTAAAGCCATCCCCTTGGGGAGCAGTGGGCTGCCATTGTGCGCTGCCCAGTGAGCAGTGTGGGGTTAAGGGTTTTGCTCAGAGACCCAGAGTGGCAGTCAGTGTGGATCAAACCTGGTACTTGCAACCTTCTCAGAGCACAAGCGAACTGTTCTAACCACTAGGCCAGCACTCCCTACTAATGAAAATGAGCTCTAATGAAACAAAACTAACAAGTTTATTTTTAAAATGTAAGAAGTAGAAAGTAGAAATAATTGCAAAAAATGTAAGGAGTAGATGTAAAAAGTTGTCTAAAAAATAATTACTCCAGTAAAGCATAGATAGGCAAAATTTCTACTTAGGCAAGAAAAGGTATTTGTACTTTGTTACTTGACACCTCGATTTTTAGATCAGTTTTTGCAATGTGCAGAGTGATGCCGTAAACAACATGTGAACATTATCCTCATAGTTGTAAAAGGAAGGTTGCTGATATTAATGACACAAGACAGAAACATGAAATGTTAGATGTTTACAGTTCCTACAAACTTTGCAGCTATGGCATTTTGCAGACCCAAACCCTATATCAGCTTACCACACTTAATTTTTATTATTTTGCAAACAGCTTTTTTGAAAACAGTCAGTGTAATTTAACTCTGCAGACATTTTGATTAAAACAAAGGTAAAAATCCCTTAAGAGTCATTTTGAATGAATTCCTTTGCACTTAGAGGGCCTCAGGACCGTACCATTCTGTTGTTGCATCTCATATCCTTTGCAGCATTTTGGACTGCTGGTAGCTGAATTTAGATCTTTGCAGATTTCTCTCCAGAATCCTTCACATTTAGATTCAGCTGTATGTTGCTTCTTGTGTTTAAATCAATTAACTGCAGAGCTATGTAACCCACTGCTGCAAAAGCAGAGTTTGTTGAAAAATGGGAAGCTTCTCATTTGTGCTTCTCGTTTTACGCGCCATTGTGCTTTCAGTCTTGAATTTATCGTTCTGTTTAATATGTATGGATATGAAATAACATTTTGTGGGCGTTCATACATGTTAGTAGCAACAAACCAGGTGGATATTATCATTAATAATTATGTCTGGAAATTCGTCTAGGCTAAAGGGATAAGCCAGTGTTGGGTCTTTAGGTAGATGCTTGCTGCCAGCTTGTCAAAATAAATATTATATCCATAGTTTTCATTGAAAACAGTTTTTATTGAAGCTATAAATTGAAAACTATTCGATCTCTGGTCAGTTTTTTTTATATATATTCGGAAGTTTTTACAATAATTTTGTTTTTCAAGATACAATCAGACGTCTTTGTTTGACACCCAGTAATACATTTTATTAGAACTTCTATTTAGTATAAAAAAGAGATAAAAGTTAAAACTGTTTCAGTATAGCTGCGTTTTCATAGTAGTTGTCACTGGTGAAAAAAAAAGATTTATCCTTAAGTTAAAAAAAATATTTCAGTGTAAGAACAATAGTTCTAATTCTTACATGTAGCTTCATTTTAGGGGAGCGGTCCGCTCTAGGATTAGATTTACTAAGTGTTTGACTGAAGGAGATTTAAATAATAAAGCCACACTTAATGAAAAAAGAGTTTTTTATTCAAAATTAAATAAGAAATGCAAAAAGTCTTGTTTGCTTTTAGGAAAAGTACATAAAAAGAAAAACTAATGGTTTTAAACTTCAGCAGAGAGAAATGAAAAAAACTCACAATGACTCAAAAGTACTACTTCTTAAGCACTTAAACATCCATTATGAGAAAATCACTGAAGGGAACAAATTAGAGCAGAACAAATGGGAGAAAAAATACAGACCTTAAACTGAGTTAGCAAGGTGAAGCCAAATTACAAGCTGTGAAACCTGATGGATGAATCTTTTACACAGCTGGGAAGAATTTGCTAATATCTGAAAATTAAAATGAGACACTTATCTGCAGTGTTTCAGTCATCAGCTAAAAGGGATTCAGTAGTTCTGCTCTTTTAAGCTGCTTATGGCTGATTTGACCCGTTACAGACTAAGACGCCCTCTGGTCATGGATGCACAAACACTTGTTGCATTAATGGATTGCAATGCCTTCAGCGTCCCTCTGTTTATGTAACCAATTACATGGGGGCCAGGTGGGAGCATCATCAGTGATCGCATCATCCTCAGCTCCAGGGCCTGATATCAACAACTAAATCGTTTAGAGGAGTGAGTTTGGTTGGTATACTCCTAATGAAAGCAACCAATATTGTTAAGAGCTAATTGACTTGATATTCCTTCATGGTGCAATTTTAACTATTGTAAAGTTTCTCATCTGAAATCTAAAGCCTCCTTTCTCTCCCACATACAAACACTTTGCTCCAAAAATATAAAAATCCCTGTTCGTTGAGAAGAAGGTGCACAGCTGAGACTGAGTTTGTTCTCTGTATGAAAGAACACGGTGCCTCTGAAAGTTGGATTTTTGGAACAGAGATTGGTTTATCCTGATGAAAATATCCCAAAACCCAAACCAAACAATGTGCTGTATGTAGTTCAGTGCAGTGAGGAATGTCCAGATTTCTATAGGGGAGAAACTAAACAGTCTCTCCACAGATGCATGGCTCAATTCAATTCAATTCAATCCAGTACATTTATATAGGGCCAATTCCCAACACTTGTCATCTCAAGGCACTTACAGTACAGAGGCAATTCAACCAGATCATACAGTCAATTTGATTCAAAGTTTTCTATCTAAGGGAAATGAGCTAAATGCATTGACTCAGTGACTCGAAGGCAATCCGTCACACCGACCATGCTTGTAGCGACAGTGGAGAGGAAAAACTCCCTTTTACGAGGAAGAAACCTCCTGCAGAACCAGACTCAGTGTGAGCGGCCATCTGCCGAGGCCAACTGGGGTTCAAGCAGACAGAAGCAGACATACAGAAAGAAGCAGAGATACAAAAGGCAACTGTCAACCAGCACCACAGCCGGCCGCATCCAGGACACACACAGCCAGGAAGATGAGCTCTTAGTCAGCTCCCATGACAGATGATAAAGAGAGCACATTGAGTTAGTCACATTCAGAGAAACAGGACTACACTGAAAAATAGGCCAAGCTCCAACATCTATAAACAAAAGTGTTGATGGCATAAGCACAGCTGATAAATCTTTCTGGGATGGAGTTTCGACCAAACAGGAACAGACCAAATGATGCTACTATACGAGAAAAAGCAGAAAGAGCATAATGTTAGAAATTTAACTAACAGATTCTGCAGAATGGAACAATAGAGATAGAATCAAGCAGAATAATGAAAAGAGGTTAGAAGGGTCATGCATTTAGAGCTACCATGTCCTGGATGGCTGAGAAGCTTCTGCATCATACAATTCTGTTAGGCTCTGTGACATAAAACCCCCAAAACAAAAATAAAAAGAATAAAAAGCAAAAAGGGCACCCTAATGGCATTGTTAGAGGACGAGAAAATCATAAAACCTAACATATCCATATGTCAGACAAAGAGAACAATGTGAGGCAAAGAAATGATGAGTCTGGGGGTTGTTTCCATGATGTTCCACAGGTGATGGAGGGACGAGAAGCGTCTGTCTCTTTAAAAAGCCGGATTGTGCTATTGAGCTGAGAGGGGGAGGAGGGGTTGGTGTTAGCTGCATTGGAACAGTCCTCTCTAATGAACAGATTTTCTTAGCGAGAGACATCCACAGATAAAGCAAGGAGAGAGAGAGAGAGAGAGAGAGAGGAGGAAAGAGAGAGAGAGATCCAGCCATCAGAGGAGACTGTAGGAGCAGGACAGCAGGCAGGCTGTGCGTCAGCCGGTGCTCCATAGGGAAACCTGGAGATGAGCAGGAGAGGACGCAGGAGCTCAGAGTAACGGGATCAGATAGATGGATGTTTCATCAAACAGGCAACAAACAGGCAACCTGAAGGCAACCCACGCAGCGGATAAACCACTTATGGACGCAGTGGATTAAAGATCTGCAGACAGACTGAGAGGAAGATAGAGGGAGGGGGGGACCGAAGAGGAGAGATTCATCAGTTTACTTCTTTATTTTTATTGTCAGAGGGTACGCACTGTGTGTATGTGCAGATGTGTGTGTGTGGCTGCAGAAGGTAGGAGACTGCATTGCTGTTCTCCAGCACCACACCAGAAGAAGCCGTTTAAGCTGAATATCTTTCTGTTCTCCCCATTTTCACTCTCCCCCTCTCTCTCTCTTTGCATACATGTGTTTCACCATTGTGCAATAGCGCTCAATATGCATGTGTGAGGGCTGAGAACGAAAAAATGATGAGTCTGAAGTGAGTCACAGAGCCTGACTTTAATATCTCCAGGATTTTGTGTCTTTTTGGTGCTGGATTTTTGTAAACTGGCTCAAACAAAATTTCATTTCTATTTTGTTAAAATTATGAAGCTTTCTGGAGGCTTTGATCAGATTCATGCTTTGGGTTGAAGGTCCACAAGGCTGCCACTGGGGAAACTTCTCAGCTTTACACCCCAGAGAGCTGGAGGCATCATCAGGTAGGAGGCGGCAGAACAAGTGGGCCTGAGCGGGCAGCAGCAGGGAGTAGGAGGAAGAGTTTGTGTCGTAGACTGTGTAGGCCGTCAGAGCTGCCTAATGGTTGAAATTCTAGCCGAGAGAGGATAATGGCAGCTTTGGGGCAACTCTCCTCCTCTCCCACCTGGATCATCTGCAAACAAGCTGAGAGGTGCTAGTGAAAGCAGCTCAGAACCAGCCAGGAGAATGGTGTGATCAGTCCACCTTGCTGACCCCTACACAGCTGAAAGGGGCTAAACTTCATAGTTCACCTTTTTTCTTCTCTTTATGCTCCGAGCTCCTTAAAAAGAGAGGTGGCATTTCTCCATCTGTGTGGGAGACATCTCCACCCCACTCCCTCTTCCTAACCCCCAAACTCCACAGCCTACAAGCTTGGTTCAGTGGCTCGCTTCTAGCTCCAAACTGTCCTTCTTCTTCCTCCCTCTGTTTTCTTTTTCTTTTCTTTTTCTTTTTGTCGAGGCTTCAAGGGAATTGCCAAGAGCTGTTTCATGCATGTCCACTGGCGGCAGGTTCAACTTTGATGATGGGGGGTCATACTGCGGAGGGTGGGAGGAGGGCAAGGCGCATGGCTACGGGATCTGCACAGGACCCAAGGGCCAGGGCGAGTACTGTGGTTCTTGGGCCCATGGCTTTGAGCTGTTGGGTGTCTACACTTGGCCAAGCGGGAATACCTATCAGGGTACCTGGGCTCAAGGAAAGAGACATGGTCTGGGCATTGAGAACAAAGGCCGCTGGGTGTACAAAGGTGAATGGACACATGGCTTCAAGGGGCGCTATGGTGTGCGGGAGAGCACAGGGACAAGCGGAAAGTACGAAGGAACATGGAACAACGGGCTTCAGGACGGCTATGGAACGGAGACATATTCAGACGGAGGTAAGGCTTGTAGGAGTTTGTGGGTGTTTTAAAACTCAGCATATGAAGATGTGGAATTGAGTTATAGCTGGCCATGTGAGACATCTGACTACTGACTTCAGAAAAAAGTCTAGCTCAAAGCATAGTGACTGACAGGCTGGGTGCAGACGCACAGTTTGAGGAATCTCTCCACAGGTCTTCTCAGGTCATCTTTGCTTCTTCTGCACCATAACACAACTTAGAGTCACACACATCCATGCACACTCGAGATGTTACATGAGCACAGCTTTTGCAAATTAATATTAACACCAGCTTGAATTTTTTACATGTCTTTCCTCAACCCTAAACCCTCAGACCGACTGCAGAGGAACACGTAATGCAGCCTGAGGCATTCTATCCAGGCCATGCAGCCTTAGGGGAGGAGAAAAAGGTTGGCGGAGGGGCAGAAATTTTTCCATAACAAAAAACAAAGATCAAGAAAGAGATTAGACCAAATTAATTATATTTCAAACAGAATAAAGTGGCAAAATCCATTTTTGATGTTTATTTATCGATCAGTACTTTTAGTCTTTTGTTACAACTCCACCAAAATAACACTATGAGTATGGGGAACTTTTATTAAGGGGTATTTTAAGACCTTAAGGCTTTGAATGCAGCAGTGTTCAGTTTTATGAAATAAAACATCTTATTTAAAATCTAACGTTAAGTTTCTTGTATGTTGGATTCCTTAAGGACATTTTTGAGTTGGATCGGTATAAACAGCTTGGTTAATGGTAGGAAAACATGTTCTGCCTAAAAGTCAACCCTCAGGCATGAAAAGAACCACTTATGGTATTATTTACAGTAACATCATGCTGAGCAAATATATTTTAGGTCTGTAGGAGCATTTCCCTCAGAGGTCTAAAGTTTTAACTAATGCGTCTTAGCTGGTGGTATTGTCTGATGCCATATTTCCCATCCAGAACTGTGACAGTATCCCTCTAGAACAAGTTTTTTTCCTACCATTAACGATCATTAAGGATTCATGATCTGAGCCTAACATTGCATTTACACATGAGATTGAGACAAGTAGCATGAAACGGCTTGATAAGATTTTTGTGAGCTAGAAACGTAAGATGGCGTCGCCTTTTAAACCACTTTGATGGGTAACCAGCTCAGTTAGCATTACTAACTGTTACCTGAGCCAGTCTTGATTGATTGACTTTATTGATCTCACAGTGGAGAAATGTACTCGTTACATCAGCTCAAATGGTCAAAGAAGAAGAATGTGCCAAAGGAAGAAAAAGGTGCATGGGATATATACAGATATAAACAATGCGTCCAGATATGACAGCTTTTTTTTTTATGTATTTTGTTTGCTACTGCACTGGGTGTTTAAACGGGAATTTATAAAGATGGATATTTATATGTATATATATTGTTTTTGCACTGGGTAGTAAAAGTAAAAAGAGTAAAAGTTTTTAAAAAGTAATATAAAGCGTCTTTTAAAGATCCAGTTAACCTTTCTGTTGTCATTGTTACCAAACAGTAAAATGAGAGGGAGAAAACAAAGGAGAAGAACTGCAGCAAACCGAATCTAGGAAATTAGCAACCAAATTATTTGTGCATCTTTACCTGGTGTCTCACTAAATTTTCACTATGGTTACATAATTACAATAAATACTCTTGAAACAGACTTCTTCCTGTTTATATAGTGGCCTTTTCTCGATTTTTAAGAAACTCTTTTGCTTGATGATATGAAGTGAATTTGGATTGAACTCTATTCTTTATGTGCAAACATGAACTGCATCCGTCTGTCTTGCAAAGGGCCTTAGGATGGATTTTATTCTAAACTGCCACTTTTACACCAAACATGAACCAACACCAACTGGATAACGACTCTGTTTTAGAAATTTTATTCCCTCCTTTTCGGAGGTGACCCTGGAACTACAACTGTTTTAGGTTTGACAAGCGTAACATGTGGAATACACCTGTTGGACAGAACAACAGACACTTTAAGGATAAGAAGACTTATTGGCTCTAATGAATATGAAGAAATCTAGCTGTAATTGTGCTCATATTGCAAGTGTTTCATTTAATAAAACCATAGAGCTCATCCATCCATCCATCCATCCATCCATCCATCCCTTTTCTGTCATGCTTATCCCAGCTGGGGTCATGAGGGGTGCTGGTGCCTATTTCCAGCTGTCTACGGGCGAGAGGCGGGGTACACCCTGGACAGGTCACCAGTCCATCGCAGGGCAACACAGAGACAAACAGAACAAACAACCATTCATGCCCAAACTCACACCTAAGGAGAATTTAGAAAAGCCAATTAAACTTACAGTCATGTTTTTAGACTGTGGGAGAAAGCCGGAGAACCCGGAGAGTACATGCAAACTCCATGCAGAAAGACCCTGGGCTGGGAATCGAACCCATAACCTTCTTGCTGCAAGGCAGCAGCACTGTAATGAGCAGATATTTTTAATTGAATGTTACAGTAGGAAGCATCTGGAGTTTAAGTGAGGACACAGGTATGCACAGGGAGAACATCCAGAATAAAAAACCCATAAGAGGCTACGACCTTCCTGATGCAAGGAGACAGCATCACACAGCCCATCTGATAAATTATTTAGATGCATTTAACTGCACAAAAACACAAATAACTATTCTAGGTTATGTTTATTTTAGATTCCTATATTTAATCGTATAAAAGCTTCAATGCTAACTATAAGAATACTTTCTCTGTAAGGTTCTGACTAAATAAAAGCTTTGATTTGGGTGGAGGATGAGATGCATCTTTCTGGGTTTATAAAAGGGATAAAATTTATCTTAGAAGGTTGAATTGCCTCAATCCATTGTTCTTTAAAGGCATTTAATTTGCTGATTGCGATCCATATAAGAGTAACATTGGCCATGAAACGGAAAAGATTCTACTCTGTTGACAAGATCCAGAAGTGCTTAAAATAAAAAGACATTTAGTTGCACATGGGCATTAAAACTGTGCATGCAGAAAGTCTGCAGACATGAAGCGTGACCGTGAGCTGACAGTAGAAGGCATGCATTTAATTTACAGATTGCGATCCATATCAGTATAACATTGGCCATGAAACGGAAAAGATTCTACTCTGTAAACAAGATCCACAAATGGTATTTACTGCATTTTGCACCATATCTGTTTTATTATTTTATTATTTTTGCACTGCTCCGAACCTTCTACATCAATGCTCTTTTTTGCACCATGTCTCTCCCACACGGTGTACATTTGATCACTGCTGCACTTTATGAAATGAAATGTTCTTTTTACTGCTAAAGTGCTGCTCATTTACAGTTAGAAAGCTGTATAAATGAAACTTTGTTGTATATACACTGTGTATACAAAATAAAAATAAAGTTTGTCTGAGAATAAAAAACTAATAAAAAAAATAAAAAACGTTAAGTTGCACACATGCATAAAAACTGTGCATGCAGAAAGTTTAGACATGAAGCGTGAGCTGACAGTAGCAGGCATGCAGCTAAAACCTGATTACATAACTTCACAACTTTAAGGCCATCTAACAGCAAGAGCACTCAGAGTTTAGTCCTGATCAGCCTGATAAAAGCCACACAGCAGACTTGTTTCAGGGGTTGATTCAGGACAGAAGCCACAGAGGTCAGCTGGATGAAAAGCAGTGAGATGGACCACAGTGGCACAGAATAATAGATAAAAGGAGAAGTTGAATAATGAACCGATAATGGAAGGGTGTATGGCTTGCTGGGTGGGAGGATGATTATCATCATTATAATGCGAGATACTCTCTAATCAGCAGAGGAGTGAGATCGTCGCTGAAAGAACTGCGTCGACAAATATGGTCCTGATAAAACGAGATGTGTTGGAGATTTAGCTCTCTGAAGTATCTGAACTCACATGCAGTATATGCAGCAGAGATTGGCCTAGTTATCAGTGTTTATCTAGCAGCAATAGTACACAGTGTCCTTATTATAACAGAACTCCTTTATATAGATCTGAAAGATAAGATTTCTGTTTGGGGAACTGAACTGTTTAAATAGAGCAGGTAAACTGTGATCTGGATGCAGAGAACCGAAATTAAGGATGTTTTTATGGTTTCATTTAGAACGGTGATGAATAGTTCTGGGTGAGATTAATCTTGAATTAGACCGAGCAGAGTTATTTTAAACTTAATCCTAATTTTCCCTTTTTCTTCACTAAAATCCAGATTTTTTTGCTGTAGCCTCAAGCAAAATTTACCTGTTTCTCTAAGGATTAATTAAGCCCATCACAGCTTCTCCTCTGCCCCATGATTGAAACCAGTTTCCTGCTGTCATCAGGCGGGTACGGTTGAAGCATGAGTTGGATTCACTTTGTCGGCAATTACCCAGATTTGTTCTGGTCCTGAGATATATGTTTGAAAACGGTCCAATATGCAGCCATGGGGGAAAAGAAAAATGAAGTACACCTTAACTGCTTCTACAAGGTTTAAGAGTCAAAGCAGCAGCCAGGTGCTGTAAATTTGAAATAATCTGAAAAGAAAGGATTAAATACAAAAGGCTTCAAATTTTTTCTTTCTTAAGTTAAGGGGAAAATAAAAAATTCACATAAACGGTTACTTTGGTTTCAAAGCTTGAAGATATGAGTAGAAAGTCCTTGATTTTGGTGTTTTTAACCAGACAACTACCTTTAGTTCTTTAAGGGCTTCTCTCTTGTGATTCATTTTGAAGCAGCTTGCCCACCTCTGCACCTTCAGGGTTCAATCATGTCCAGAGTAATATCTCTCATGAATCACAGCACTCAGAGACGCTCTGCCGAATCCAGACTTTGTGAACCTGTTGTGCACTTTGCTGCATCTGCCCTCAAACTGCACCTGATGAAACGTTTCCACAGCATCCTCACTGCTAGTTTCTTCCTCTCCTTCTCACTCCTGATCTCATCCTCCCACCTTTGCTTCCTCCCTTCGCTCTGTTGCATTTTCACGCAGCAGCTCTGTACAACAGGGTTTCCATAGCAACACTCATCGACGTGCAGCAGGTCACCGTGTCAGGAG